TTCCACTAATCCTGATGACATATTCCTCCTCGTAAAGTCCAGCCTCCTAAATGATCTGTTCTGCATACAGATTAAAAAGATATGGAGAAAGAACACATTCCTGACACACTCCTTTCTTGATTTTGAACCATGCAGTGTTTCCTTGCTCTGTTCTGACGACTGCCTCCTTGTCCAGGCATGTTGTTGTTGTCATGTGCCGTCGAGTCGCTTGCGACTCATAGCAACCCTATGTACAACAGCCCTAAACCCTGCTCTATCCTGTGCCAATCTCACTGCCTCCAACACACCCATCCCGATTACCCCAGTCACTGAATCAGTCCACCTCATAGAGGGTCTTCCCCTTCTGCGCCGTCCCTCCACTCTACCCAGCATGATGTACCTCTCCAAGGACCTCTCCCTCCTTACAGCATGTCCAAAGTATGTTAGGCGAAGCCTCAGGATCCCTGCCTCCAAGTAGTAGCCTGGTTTAACCCTCTCCAGGATGAATCTGTTTGTTTTCTTGGCAGTCCATGGTACATTCGATACTCTTCTCCTGCACCACAGCTCAAAGGCATCCAAGCATAGGTTTCGTTTAAGCACTATAAAGTGTTCTGAGATTTGTATTTTTCCCAAGGTCAGCCACAATTTGTTGTGAACCACATGGTCAAAATGCCTTTGTGTAGTCAATGAAACACAGACATTCCTCTGGTACTCTACTTTCAGACAGAATTCATCTGACATTGGCTATGACGACCATATAGCCATGGCCCCTTCTAAATCCAGCTTTTATTTCTGGCATTGAAAGTTGGATAATGGATAACATTGATGGACAAAGGATCAGTACATGTTTTGAATTGTCTTATAGAACAGTGCTGGCTATCCTGCCAAAAGAACAAGTTTGTCTTGGAGGAAGTGGAACCAGGTTGCTCTTAAAAGGCAAAGATAGTGAAACTTCCATCTCATATACTATGTGTATGTTGTCAGGGGAGTCCAGTTCTTGGAGAAAGACACCATGCTGGGAAAGTTAAAGCATCAAGGAAATAGAGAATGACATTCAAGGAGTTACATTGCACAGTGACTGAAACGATGGGATTGACATGTCAGAGACTGTGAGGAAGATATGGGATAGGATAAAGTTCGATGTGTTTTTTGTAGATTTTCTGTGAGTTGTAGTCAACTTAAAGGCAGCTAACAAAATAGGGTTATTTTGTCCCTTGGGCTTTTTTAGACTGTAAATTGCATAAGAAGATATTATTACCCATCTCTTCTTTGGAACTGTTTTTGGATTTGAGCTGACAGAGGTGGTGTTTTGAGTTAGCTGTGTAACTCTTAACGGACTTTGACACCAGAGTTCCCTATAAGTGCCACAAAGGAAAGAATTCCTGTCAGCAGCATTAGATGAGCACCAAAACAGTTTAAGAGCTTAGTCACACTCATACTCCTGAGCCTATTTGTCAGTTTTGATGTCAGTCATTTCTCTCATAGCTCTTAATTACTTCATTACTACATTTGCTAATTTGTTTCAATGACCGTATAGAACTCATGGACAATATGCTTTATTAGGAAAGTAATTTGTTACTAATTGGATAGGAAATACTGGGGATACAGTTCTTAAGTCAGGACAGCTTTTTCTCAGGCAAGCAAAATTGTGCTGTGTGTATATTGCAAATTGTTAATTGATCTTCCTGGAGCCCTAATGCCACATTTTCTTCATACAGTCTCGTCTCTTGTTCAGCATGCATTAAGAGAAAGGATATTGTACTTACAGTCTTTGTGTCATTTTTCTTTTCCTTTTCCTGTGTTAGGCTTGTATTTAACCATCTTCTTTTTCTTGGAATCCTTTTACATCTGCTAATGTATTTCAATGGTAGAAAATTCTTTTATGTTAATGTTTCTGATATTTTATGAGTTGTTCTTGGTTATCTTAGTACATATTGCAGGCAGATCTGAAAGAATCCTTTACCTTAGTTGAATAGTGATTTCACTGTGTCAAGATTAGTGAACGTTTTGCCCACCTATAAAAATATGCAGAGTAGAGAATATCATGCATCTCAGAGAGTCTTTCTGTTAGATTATTTTTATGAACTTTGGTACTGTCATAAATAATATAAGCAGAGTCATTATGTCCCTGCAACCCCTGCCCTACTTTACTGTCCACTCTAGGTTTATGGGAAACAACTGATACAGGGAAAAGTGGTATGAATTTAATTGATATTTCTGTCATGATTAGGGAGCTCTGATGGTCTAGGGGTATGAAGATTTACTGCACTCCCAAAGGCACACAGCTCAAATCCACCAGCTTCTCTGTGGTAGAAGGATGTGCAGTCTCGTCCCATGCAATTTACTGCCTCTGAAAATTTTCTGGAGGGTCAGCTATGACTCAGTTCCAACCGAACAACATCGTGATTAAGAACCCTAATTGGCATAGTACTTACAATATGCTAAACAGAAAGTTTGGTCGTTTTTTATCTACCTGCTCATTAAAAAGCAGTCTTTTCTCCTAAAGATTTAGCCTGGGAAAGTGGTCGGAGATGGCTGTGGGTTTTGGGTTTATGTAATAATGCTTTCTTTACGCTGTTACTTGCAATTTTTTTCCCAGGTAAATAAGATCTAATTTGTAATATCACTTGAAATAATCTTCTTTATTTTCTAAATCCTGAAATTCTCGGGTATTACATTTGTGATTTTGTATTTTACCTATTGCATAAATGTCACTGTAATTATGTAAGAGAGTTGTATTTTTTTTGTGTGTGCCTGCAAAGTGGGTATTTTAATATTCCTTTTTGCTGCTCATTTGAAGTGACTGGAGTGGAATGGTTTGTTTCAGAAAAACAGGTGGTGGTTTTGATTCTGTTTAAGCTCTCAATGACATATACCATATACTGTGCTAGTGGAAAATTTTCTGGGTTGTTTTGCCAAGACTATAAAAGTACGAAATTTGAGGAAGGGTTTTTTCCCTAATTAAAACAATCACAAAAATAAAACCAGCCTGTCTAAATAAGTGTTATTTCAGACTTATCCTTGATTCCATTTTTCCTTTACTTCTGCTTATCACGAGTGACCTATTTTAAAAATCTGTCCAGAATCTAACCTGCTTCAAAATTTTTTCTATCATAGTACAAACCATCACAATTGCTTATCTTACTACTGCAGTATTGTTTTCCATTCTACATGCCCACCTGTCACCTTCATTTTTTCCTTCATATTGTTTAACCTGCAAGACTTTGAATCACCTGCTCTGAAGACGAGTGTTTTGAGTTAGACATATTGGCTTTGGAAGTATGACTGAGCTATCCAAATGAATTGGATCACAGAATGATTGGCATGCAGTCATCCATTCATTTACTGAGCCAGGCACTGCAGTATTTGAATGAGGCCCATTAGGTGATGGATCTTAACTCTCACAGAAAAGTGAGAGAGTTAAAAAAAAAAGTAAAATTTGTTGGTTGTGTTGTTTTTCTTTAAATTGTTAGTGAAGAGAGAAGAGCTCTCTTTGAGAGCTACTTTTCAAAAGATCAGTACCATTCAGTGTCTGTGTTTAGGCAGCTAAAAAAGATCTTGCATAAGAAACGTAGGAATGATCTGAGAGAAGAGAAGCCAAAGAAAGTGATGACACAAGTATAAGGAAAGCTGCTTTTCTGAGAGGAAGTAATTAGAAATAATAGTGATATTAACATTAAGTGTATCTTGCAACAAGTAAAGCACTGTTTGAAGTACATGCATGTGTAAACATGTTTCTTACTTATACAAGCTTTATGAGGTTATCTTAATTTAACATACAAGGAATCTTGGAACTAGAAAGGTAGAGGAATTTATAGTTGAGCCAGAAATGTCAGTGTGTAGACTGTAGAGACATCTAAGTGCTTGGTTGGTTACTTTGGAAGTCATTGAGGTTTTAGGGGAGACTAGTTCTACGGCTATCTTCTCTAACAAGACCCTATGTTAGTCCATCAAGCCATGGATCTTCATTATTTCTTGGCAAAAGAATTGTGCGTTTATCAATTTGCATTCAAATAAACACACACACATACACACACACACACACACACACACACACACACACACACATCTTAGCACTTTAACAGAGTAGTTGATATTGTCAACAATTTTAGCTTGTTCACTGGGAAAGTTTGCTGTCAGGGGCCTTTGCGGAGTGCTGAAGTGCAAAGAGGTCAGTCGATGTGCCTGATTTAGGCCATGGTCTTTGCAGTTACTTGCTATACATCAGAGGTCTGGACTGTGACTAAGGATTACAGAAGAAGAATTGATGCCTTTGAGTTTTGGTGCTTGAAAAAGTATTGAACATACCACGGACCACCAAGAAAACAAACAGGTCTGTTCTGGAAGTGGTGAATCCAAGCTGCTCCTTAGATGCAGGATTTTGAAACTCCGTCTCATGTACTTTGGGTGTGCTGCCAGAAGGAACCAGTCCTTGGAGAAAGACATCATGCTTGGAACGGTGGAGGAATAGCACAGGAGAGGAAGACTGAATGAAATGGATCGACACAGTGATTGGGATAATAGGGCAGGTGTTTTGGATACAGTGACATTGACTCAGGATAGGATAGAGTTCAGAGCTTATTGTGCAAAAGGTTGCTATGAGTCACAGGCAACTTGCTGGCACATAACAACAAGCCACCTAAGTAAATAATTTGGTATTTGAAAATTGAAATTAAAAGCTTTATGAGTCAATTTTAGTGAAATTTAGTATTAGGGCAATGCATCATTCCTGATGTTTTTTACTTCAGTATAATTCAGGAACAGTTGAGTATGTTTCCTTGTTTTACAGATGAATTAATTACATGAGTGGCAAAGTCAAACCTTGAATAGACAAAACATTTGGTCTATAATTAAGGGCTTTCACAGTGCCATTACTTTTAAAAACAGCATTTGAAAGTAATAAGGGTTCAGAATTAGCCTGGCTTCCCTGCCCAGTTTGTCACACCAGCCACTTGTAAAGTAAATAAAAGGGGACCCACAGAACCCTCTTTGAGGGTATTCTGTTTGATTTCTATTAATAGTCGCAAGGAATTAACTCTCATAGTGATACATCTCGTGAAATTTTTTCATCTTGTCTTTGTATAATTCAAGTTGGAGATGAAGTAGAGAGTCTAGGTAAAACACAACTTTTCTGGAGTTAGGAATTTTGAAAAGTGTATATTTTAAAAACAAAGATTTAGATTTCATTATATTAAAGTTTAGTTTTCTTATGATTCTGAGTAGGTTATACATTTACAACTGAATTATGATATCCAGATGCCCATGTTTCACATATTTCTTCACATGAATCAAGTTTGCAGAATTGTTAGGTGCTGTCACATTGTCTGACTCATAGTGACACTGTGAACAACAGATTGAAATTTTGCCCTATCCTGACTATTCCTCACAATTTCCACCATCTTCAAAGCCACTGTTGCCGCCAACTTGGCAGTTCCTATAATTTAGAGTCATCTTCTTTTTTTTTTTCCTGAATCTATACTTTTCCAAACATGATGTCTTTCCCAGGACGGGTGTTTCCCTGACAGTATGCCTAAAATATATGATAGGAAGTTTCTGCCTGTTTGCTTCTTTGGAGAACCCTGTTTATACTTCTATCAAGAGAGACATGGTTTGGTTTTTTTGGGGGGTTTTTTTTTTAATGTTCATGGTATATTCAGTACTCTTGACCAATACTATAATTCAAAGGCATCAATTCTTTGGTCTTCCTTATTCTTTGCCCAACTTTCAAATGTATATGGAGCAATTGAAAATACTATGGATTGTGTCAGGCACATCTTCCTGTTTTCATTGGCATGTTTGCTCTTTAGCTCTTTAAAGAGGTCCTTGGTACAGATTTTCTCAGTGCACCAAGTCTTTTGATTACTGCTAGCATGGGTGTTCAAAATCAAGAAAGAAGTGTATCAGGGATGCATCCTATCTCCATACCTTTTCAATCTATATGCAGAACAGATCATTCGGGAATCAGGGCTTTATGAGGAGGAATGTGGCATCAGGATTGGAGGGAGACTCATTAGCAGCCTACGTTAATACAGATGACACAACCTTGCTTGCTGAAATGAAAGAAGACCCGAAGCGCTTGCTGTAGAAGGTCAAAGACTGTAGTCTTTAATATGGATTGAAGATGGAAGCTTAATATCAAGAAGACAAAGATTCTCACCACTGAGACAATTGGCAGCACCATGGTAGATGGAGAAGAGATTGAGGTTGTTAGCCATTACAGCTTGCTTGGCTCCACCATCAACACTCTTTAACACCAGCAGTCAGGAAATCAAAAGACGAATTGCAATGGGAAAATCTGCTGTCAGGGACGTCTCTAAGATTGCTGAAAAGTAACAGTGTCAGTCTAGAGACTAAGGTGGGCCTGATCCAGGTGATGGTCTTCGCAGTTACTTGTTATGCATCAGAGAGCTACACAGTGATTAAGGATGACAGAAGAAGAATTGATGTTGTGGTGCTAGAGAAGAGTCTTGAACATAATATGGACTGCCCAGAAAACAAATCTGTCTTGGAGAGGGTGAAACCAAGTCTCTCCCTGAGGCTAGGATTTTGAAACTCTGTCTCACATACTTTGGACCAGTCCTTGGAGAAGGACTTCATGCTTGGAAGGATGGAAGGACAGAGCAGGAGAGGAAGACTCCAGATGAGATGAATTGATACAGTGACTGGGGCAGTGAGGTTTGATGTGTCTGAATTAGTGAGACTGGCTCAGGACAGGGCAGGCTTCCGAAGTACTGAATGTAGGGTCACTATGGATTGTACATAACAACAAGAACAACAACAACAAAGTGTGGGTGTTTACTGTAGAACCAGGTAATGTGTGTCATCCATCTTGAAAGCTTTAATTTTTGCTCCTGTTCAGTAAGTGCTTCTGGTCTTCGCCACTTTCTGCAAGGTGCATCTACATAGTGTAGTTGTTGATGAGTTTTTCTCTAATCCTGACTCTACACTTCATGTGATCTAGCTTATCAATTGATTTTGCTCAGCATTCCGGTTGAATACATGTGGAATAGGATACATTCCCAGCACACACATTCTTTGATTTTAAACTGTGAGGCACTCCCTTGTTTGAAAAACTGTTCCTTGATGCTCATTGTTATTAATAATTATTAGATGATAAAGAGATTGAGATTGTTAATACCTTTAATTTGCTTGGTTCCACAGTCAACACTCTTGGTACCAGCAGCTAGGAAATCAAAAGACAAATTGCATTGGGAAAGTCATTGTCAGGGACCTTTCCAGAGTACTGAAGAGCAATGATGTCAGACTAAATGGCACCTGATACAGGCCATGGTTCACAATTACGTGCTATGCATCGGAGAGCTGGAAAGTTACTTGGGATGATAGAAGGAAAATTGATGCCTTTGAGCTATAGTGCTGGAGAAGAGTATTGAATATACCATGGACTGCTAGAACAAACAGGTTCATCCAGAGAGGGTGAAACTAGGCTGCTCCTTGGAGACAAGGATTCTGACTTACTTTGGACATGTTTCAAGGAAGGACCAGTCCTTGGAGAGGGACATGACTCTTGGGAGGGTGAAGTGACAGCACAAGAGAGGAAGACCCTCAAGGTGGTGGATTGACTCAGTCAGTGGGTAATGGAGGTGGGTGTTTCAGAGACAATAAGGCTGTCTCAGGATAGAGCAGGGTTCAGAGCTGTTTTATATAAGGTCATTATGCGTTGCAGGTGACTTGATGGCATGTAACACCACCACCACCACCACCACCACTGAATGCCTTTGTATACACTTTGTAACACTAGTAAACATCTTTCCAAAGTTCTCTTTGTCTGTAGAGTAAATGGTAATACTACACTGATAGTTTAAATAATTTGGGTTGAGTTAGTTTCTTATGAAATAATTTAATTGCAGTCTAGGAGATAACAACTTTTTAAACATTGAGTATAAAATTATAAAGTGTTGTGTGGGACAAAATATTTGTTGATTAGGTCTGGAGCAGTTGTTTGTTTTGGTGTTGGTTTGTTCCCCCCGCCCCCATTGCCGATGTCTTGTTTTGGAGAGGGTGCAGGCGGAGTGTTCTTTGGAGGCAGGAATGGTGTGGATTTGTCTCACATACTTTGGACATATTACTAGAATAAGCTATTCCTTGTAGAGGGACATGATGCTGGGAAGAGTGAAGGGTCGATGAAGGAGAGGAAGACCCTCAACCAGATGGATTGACAACTGTGACTGCTGCAATGGGCTCTTGTGTGTCAAAGAAGTGTGAGGATGGCTGATGACAGGACTGGGTTCAGATCTTTTGTTCATAAGATTGCTGTGAGTCGTACTTGTCAGCACCTAACAACAACAACATGGAGTTTCTTTGTTCAGTTTTGTTTAGGAAATGCCAAACTGCCTTCGAGAGTGGTTATACCATTTTAGAATCCCACCAACAGTTTATGAGTGTCTTATTTCTACACATCTTCCCTAACATTTATTGCTTATGGTCCTACTAAACTTTGCCTCTGCTACTAGGTTGAGAATGGTATCTTCTTGTGGTTTTGATTGGTGCTTTTGTTTTTGTTTTTTTAAAATTTATTTTATTTTATTATTTTTTTGTGCATGTACAAATTGGATCTGACTGGTACAGGAGGGGATTGTCCCTCCTTCTTCAGCAGAACATCTGATTGATTCAAACAGAGCACCTCTGGGATTACATTGGAGCTTCTTGTTACTAGGCCATCAGAGCTCTCTTATGCGTATTTGTTTTTTAAGGAATTGAGTAATTGGTCTTATCAGGCAAGTGGTTATATCTGGATATTGCTATGAAGCTTGAGGGAGAACATGTCATACACTGGAAAGAATGTATTAATGTTAGACTTGCTTGAAGCATTTGCTTTTGCTTCCCTTGTGTCTTCATTCATGAGACTTTTAAGAGCATTGGAAAACAAATAATGAAAACAAAATGTCACAAATAGGGCTTAATTAGTCTTAGAAACATAGAAATACTGCTGTATTTATGTTTTTAAAACTTTAAAGTTTGTTAAAAAAGGAAATGTCAGCTATTGGCTATTCTAAACTGTAGTCTTTTATGGTGCACATATGTGCGTTTGCCCTTGTAAATCTTCTTGTTCATAAGAACTATGTGCACTTTTAAAATCTCCTTGTGTAGTCTCATTAGCAGTTGTTGATGCCTAATACTTCACACTAAGAATTTTTAGCTTTAAATTTGAAAAAATGGAAAAAACATGTTAATTTTGAGTAAATATAGTTACTGAGGATCACAGTGGCTATGTTTTATTTAAAGTTATCCCTTGAACTACTGGTATGTCTAAAAATACAGTGTTGGTTGTATTAATTAGTTAGCTAAGGAATTCTTAATTTTTGCAAATGATGATGACACATTTAACATATAAATTCTATTTCCCAAAAATAACATTTGTTTTACTGAGTCAGCTTTGTATAATAGTAGAATCTGTTTAAGAGGTTGAAATTTTGTTGCAGGAATCTCCAAGTTCCCTAACTACAGTTGCAGCTCTTTTGTAAATTAGTTTTGTTATACACAGATTGCCTTAATATTCCAAGCACATATAATACTGTTAGTAGCATCAACCACCCGATAAGTTGAATACCCCTGTAGTCTGATAGAGTTGTGTATACTAAACATTCAAGTACTGGCAAATTATAATACTCAATACATGTGAAGCAATTGAAAAAACTGGGGCTTAGTCAGGTGCACCTTATTCCTCAAAGTAACATCTTTGTGTTTTCATATGCTAAAGAGGACTTCAGCAGAATTTTTCCAATACACTTATGTCACTTAATTGCTTGCCTTCTTCCTCCATTAGTGTTGGTTGTGGAGTCACTTAATAAAAGGTTTTCAGTTTTTTTCAGAGGTAGGTTAGAGGTCTTCTTACTTTTTGTTATTGTGGAAATTCCACTGGAACCTACCACAATTAGTGACTCTGTGGATGTATTTGAAATATCAGTGGAAGTTTCCAGCATTATAGCAACATACAGGCGATCATGGTACAAAGTGACAAACACAATGTATATGTTTGTAAGGGAAAAAGATTGAGAGAGGTTTCAGGAAAACAGCTCACACAGTTAAAGATATTGTTGTTGTTAGGTGCTGTCGAGTCAAGTATGATTCATAGCAACCCATGAACAAAAGATCTGAACCCGTGTCTTATCCTGTGCCATCGTCATACTTCCTGACACACTAGAGCCCATTGCAGCAGTCAGCCTGTCAGTCCATCTGGTTGATGGTCTTCTTCTTCTTCGCTGACCCTCCATCTTTACAAGCATCATGTCTCTGTCCAGGGAATAAGCCCTCCTAACAACATGTCCAAAGTTTGTGAAGTTGAGCCTCATCATTCTTGCCTCCAAAGAGCAGTCCAGCCACACTCTCGCCATGACATATATTCGTTTGTCCTTTTGGCCGTCCATAGTATGTTCAGTGTTCTTCATCAACACCACAGCTCAAAGGTATCAGTTATTCTTCTGTCATCCTTATTCATTGTCCAGCTTTCAGATGTATAGCAAGTGATTGGAAAGAACCTGGCTTTAATTAGATGCACCTTAGTCCTCATAAAAGTCCTTTTTAATTTGGAAATAACAGAAGGGATGTCAGATCTCTGGGTACATGAACAACTTTTCCCAGTAGGCTGAAAAGAAACGGCAAACTGGTAAAAACAAAAACTATTTGGCAATGCTATTTCTGGGAGGATCTTATCACTGTACAGAATACTACAGACATTATATAGTTTACAGAATACAACAGGGCTTTCAAATGAAAAAGATTGATAACCCAGTTACAGAATGGGCAAAAGATCTAAGTCTCGTCCCAAAGGAGGGCATTTGGATGGCCAAAAAAAACATGAAAAAGATTATCAAAATCACTGTTAGAGATGCAAATCAAAGCAGCATTGAGATACCATCTCCTCCAGTAGGTCTAACAAAGTTTAACAGGATAGCAAGCAGTAAGTGCTGGTGGGACTGTAAAATGGTACAACCTCTAATGGAAAGCAATTTAGCATTTCTCAGAAAGTTGAACATTGAAATCCCATATGACCTAGCCATTTTGCTTCTGGGAATATAATCCAAGGAAATCAGAACTGAAAAAAATGGAGACACGTACACTTATGTTCATAGTAGCATTATTCACAATAGCAAGAAAATGAAAACAATCCAATGCCCATCAACATGGGAAGAATGGATAGAAACACTGAGCTATATTCACACAATGAAATAGTGTACAGCGCTAAAGAAAAAATGAAGCATTCCTAAAGTATGACACAACCTTGCAGAGTCCAGAGAACATCCTGGTGAGCAAAATAACTCGGTTACAAAAGAACAAATATTGCATAAGAATGCTCTCGTGACAGTATGAGGGTACCAGAGAGTGGAGGAGGAAGGAATGGAAGTATGATGGGTAGACAAAGAACACTTCAAGGACCAAGACAAGGGAGGATCTGCCTGGGAAGGAACAAGATAAAGGAAAATCAGTTACTGCAATTAACAGATAGGAACTACATATAACTTCTTAAAAGGGCAAGAAGAGAAGGGGTGTAGAAGAATGAAGCAGCAATCACTAGGACAACCAAGACTAATAGAGGAAAGGGGTGAAGAAATAGCTAAAGGTACAAGGGGAGCTTCTATAGTGTATAGAAATTATTATATAAAATATAGATGAAACAATATATATGGATAATTGTATAAAAGTGAAAGATAGTATAAAGAAAGAATACATTACAAAAAAAGATACTAATACAGGGGAACACAAGCTTTGAGGACTCTCCTACCTAGGGTCTCTAGGAGTTGCGTGCCACTCAACGACACTTAACAACAACAACAATACGGGGGGAAAATTCGTTCACTTCAAAACATTGCATTGCATTTATAGAACACAACAACAACAACAACAATACGGGGGGAAAATTCGTTCACTTCAAAACATTGCATTGCATTTATAGAACATTACACTAAGGAATATCAAGTCAATCACAAAAGGGCTAATGTGGTGTAAGACCACTATATCAAGAGCTAAAGAAAGGTTTATATGCAGATAGAATTTATTTTGGATAGTTAGAGATGGGAAGAGAGGGAGGGGAATTAAAAAGAGATTTTTTTGATTCAGCCCTCAGCCCTCATTCCTCGCTAGCTTCCCCCTTGTAAATTTCTTCCATTCATACAGTATGAGATCTCATTGTGTGAGTACATACCTCTGAATTCTGAATTTCTCTCTTGAGTCCAAAACCACTGCCAGATTTCAGCTGCCAGCTAAATATTTCCTTTCAGATGTTCTCCAGGTTCCATTCAAAATAGTAAATCTGATTTTACTTCATTGACAAAAACCATAGGGGTAAAAACATGATATATTATTTGAATATAGTAACTAAACTATACACACACACACACACACACACACACACACACACACACACACACATACACACTAATATTTTCGTCTTTTAATAGAAATTTTATGAGTTCTTTTTTATGTATCTAAAATATTTCTCTTTTTCTAAAATCATTTTGCTGTGCATTAAGGCATCTTGCTTTCTTCTCCGTGCCATATCCCAAGCACACACATTCTTCAGTGTTATAATATGTGTGGGGTTTTGGATTATTACTCTTTTGAGGAGGGGGGTTGGTTTTAAAAATTTTTATTCCTTTGTGTGCAGGCATTCATACACATTGTGTTTCATTCACGTACATTGTGTTTTCCCTAATCCTTCAAATACATTATGTGTTACATAATTTATTACTATTAATCTGTGTTCTATTATCACTCCATTTCTTCAGATCCTCTTTGCATCTTGACCCTCCATCCACTCCTAACCTCTATAACCCTAATGATTATCCCCTTTTTCTGGTCATCCTTTCTCCTCTTCGTTTTCCTACTTGGAACATTTATACATACCTTAATCACTTATCTTCCTTTTTCCACAAATAGTGGTCTTATCCAGTATTTGCTCTTATGTGACTGAGTTATTTAATTCAGCTTAATGCTCTCTAGACTTTCCTGTGACATGTAGTATTTTATGGAATAGTTGTTCCTTTGAGGTGCATAGTATTCCATTATGTGAATGTACTATAATTTCTCAGTCCATTTACTTGTTGACAGGCATTTGTACTGTTTCTGTTTTCTTGCTTTTGTGAATGATGCCACTATGAATATAGGTGTACATAAGTCCATTCATGTTTCAGTTCTGATTTCTTTGGGATGTATTTCTGCCAGTGGAATAAGCTGGGTCATGGGGGATTTTGTGTTTAGCTTTTTGAGGAAACACCAAACTGCCTTCCATAGTGATTGTGCCATTTTGTATTTCTAATAGCAGTGTCCAAGAGTTTCAGTATCTCTGCATCCTGAACATTTATTGTTTGCTGTGTTCTTAACTTTTGTTCTTGCTGCCGGGGTGAGATTTTATCTTATTACTATTGGGATTTACATCTCTTTGATTGCTGATGATTTTGAACATTTTTTTCATGTGTTTGTTGTCCATTTAAATGTCTTCATTTGTGAAGTTTTCTCATGTCTTTTGCCAATTTTGTGATTGGATAGCAGTCTTCTGCTTTTGGAGGCCCTGCAGTATTCTTTAAACTTTAGTTCTGAGACCTTTGTTGAAAATATTGCTAACAAATATTTTTTTTTTCCTGCTTGCTTTTCACTCTTTTGGATAAAGTTTTTGACACACACAGGGATTTGATTTTAAGGAAGTCCCAGTCATCAGTTTCTCCCCCCCCCCACTAGTTTATGTATAAAATTTGAATGCATTTTTTCAATAACAAATTCTTTCCCTCCCCTCTTCCCCCCAATCAAATTATACAACCACTGCTCAATTTTTATTTTATCTTGTTTGTATGTTTTGGGTTTGTTTGCAAGCACTTTTATACTATAGGCTTAGGCTTCTAAATTTGTTACCATTTTGTCTCTTTCCCCTAGGTGTCTTAATCCACTTTAAGTTTGTATATGGTATGAGATGTGGATCCTGATTCAGTTTTCTGCATCTAGATGTCCACTTTTGTCAGTGCACCATTGGTTATATATGTTGTAGCTTTTCCATTTCATAGATTTTATTTCCTTGTCACATATCAGTTGACCATAGATAGATGGGTTGATTTGTGGGTTCCAGTAGTCTATATGTCCACTGTTGTGCCTATATCATGCTGTTTTGGGCGTGGACTAGGGCTTCACAGTAGTGGCAAATAGCAGCAGAAGCCTTTGGGTGTCAGGTGGAGGCTGAAGAGTCCCTGGAGGTGGGATGGACTCCCTGGTGGCCCAGGAGGAATTCACTGCTGGCTGGTCCTTGGAGCCAGCTGGGTTGCTTTCTTATCTGCTTGCTTGCTGGTCTGAGGAGATGGATTGGCTATTGGTAGTGGTGCAGATTCATGGGTCCCTGGTGGTGGGTGAATGCACTGGTAACCCACAAGGTTCTTTCCTCACTGCTAGCTGGTCCCTGGAGGCAACTGGCACACATGTACGCAGAGCATATTCCCAGGTGGCCTGCAGTCTACTGCCTTCTCTGCTGGTTGGGTCTGGTGACTCACAGGACATTCCCCTCTCTGCTATTGTATTATTATTATTATTATTATTATTATTATTGCTCTATTTTGCTTTTATGAAGAGAAAAATCCCATTTTGTTCTTTTTTGCTTGTAGGTATCCATGCTTTGAGAAGAGTCCTGAAGAAACAGCCAAACATCCCTGACAGCAAGGTGGCTGGGCTGGTGAAGATTACTTTGAATGATTTCTTGAAAGGAATGAATGATATCAGACCCAGTGCTATGAGGGAGGTGGCAATTGATGTTCCAAATGTAAGTTTTACTAGCTATCTTGCTTGAATTACACTTGGAAAGAAACTGACTGTAGGAATACTACTATCCTGCTGTAATCCCCCGCACCCCCAATTGGAATTTAACTTAGGAAATTTCAAATATTTGAAGATTCACATGCATTTGTGAAAAATGGTAACAGACAAATTCTGAATATACTTTACCAAGTTTCCCACAAGAATATCTGACAAAATATTTGACTTTGATAAAATCATCCAATCTTACTTAAATTTTCCTAGTTTTAATTATACTCATAGCTGTTCCTCTATATGTGTGTGTACTCCAGAGTGCCTGGGTGGTGTACTTATCTGGTTGTTGGTAGATACCGAACCTGAGGCAACTCAGGGAAAAGGATGAATCTTGAGAAAAGAAAATAGACCTCTTTAGGTCTGCTGTGTAGCACAAGAGGTTGTTATGGGTTGGGATCAGCTCAGTAGAACCCCCTCTCTTTTGAGATTTGTTTCATTCTATTTAATTTCATCACATATGTGTTTGTAGGGAACTCTGGTGGCCTAGTGAAAAGAAGCTGCACTGCAGTCCCAGAGGCAAGCGGATCAAGGCCACCAGATGCTCCATGGGAGAAGGATAGGATATCCCCTCCCTTGCTATTAACTGCCCCTGAAAACCTGCAGGAGGGTCAGCTATGAGTCGGTTCCATCCCAACATACACAACAGCAACAGCAACTTGTGTTTGTATATTCATTAATATAAGCAAGAAAATGAATATTTCTGTTACCTAAAAGGTCTGTTTTGTTGTCCTTTAGTGACAGTAACCACCTTGTCACTCTCTCTCTTTCTAAAATTGTGATTTCAAGAAATGTTATATAAATGGAATCCTACAATATGTGAAACCAGTACTTGAACCAGGAAGCAGTCCTCAGAACAGAGCAGGGAAACACTACATGGTTCAAAATTAGGAAAGGAGTGCATCAGGGATGCATCCTGTCTCCATACGTTTTCAATTTATATGCAGAACAGATCATTTGGGAAACAGGGCTTTATGATGAGGAATGTGGCATCAGAATTAGAGGAAGGCTCATCAACAACCTACATTATGCAGATTACACAACTTTGCTTGCTGAAATGGAGGAGGATCTGAAGGACTTGCTACAGAAGATCAATATAGACTGTAGCTCAACCTCAAAAAGAACAAAGATTTTCATCACTGGGCCAATGGTAGATGGAGAAGAGATTGAGGTTGTTAACAGTTACAGCTTGCTGGGCACCACAATCAGCACTTTCAGCACCAGCAGTCAGGAAATCAAAAGATGAATTGCATTAGGGAAATCTGCTGTTAGGGACCTCTAAAGAGGGCTGAAAAGCGACGATGTCACTCTGGAGACTAAGCTGCACCTAATCCAGGCCATGATCTTTGCAGTTTCTTGCTATGTATTAGAGAATTGGAAAGTGACTAAGGATGACAGAAGAAGAATCAAAGCCTTTGAGTTATGGCGCTGGAGAAGTCTTGAACATGGACTGCCAAGAAAACACACGGGTGTATCTTGGAGAGGATGAAACCAAATTTCTCCTTGGAGGCTAGGATTTTGAAGTTCCATCTCACATACTTGGGGCCGTGGCCAGGAGAGATCAGTCCTTGGAGAAGGACATCATGCTTGGAAGGGTGGACAGACAGCTCAGGAGAGGAAGACCCTGGATGATATGGATTGATACAGTATTTGGGGCAGTGGGAGTTAGTTTGTCAGAATCTGAAACTGGGAAGGGTTCAGAATTGCTGTACATAAGGAAATATGAGGAATTCCCTACCCTGTGATGGTTGTGGTTGTTGTTGTGTTCCATGGAGTCAGGACCGACCCATAGCAGACCCTCCACTGTGTTTTCAGAGCCAGTAAATCACATGGAAGGAGATTACCTGTCTTTCGCTCCCTGAGCAGCTGGTGCATTTGGACAGCGTACCTTTGTGTTTTGGAGAGCTCCCTTTGAAAACTCACTTGAAGCTTAGCTATTGGTTGGTTCTGACTCATTGCCAATGATGTTGAGGGAAATTGTATAAGATAATTATCAGCTAGGTTAATTTTAGCATAGATCTTTTTTATATATCCATCTTTAACAGTGTTTACAAAGTTCTCAGTCAGATCACCACAGGACAATAGACGTTCTATTTTCTACCATATCTTTTCTATCTCCCATGATTAAAGTGAGCTGTAACACTAAAAAATATTTGTTGGTTTTTTATTACTATTGAGTCTGAACTGACTCATAGGTAACTCTCCACGGGGGTTTTCAGAAGCAGTAAATTGCACAAGAAAAGATCTCCTCCTATGGATAGATTCAAACCATTTGCCATTGGGTTGGCGGCTCAGCACCTTACCACTTACCCACTAGAGCTCCACAGAAAAAAACAGATTGTTATTGTCATTAGGTGCCATAGAGTATGACTTATAGTGGTGACCCTACAAACAAAAGGTCTGAACCTTATCCTATCCTATGCTGTCCTCATCATCTCTGACACCTCTAAGCTTATTTGCTGTTGTCTTATGTCAGCCCCCCTTATTGAAAGTCTCCTTTTCCTTGGATGATCCTGCACCTTTCCTAGCATGATCTCCCTTTCCAAGGAGTAGCCTCTCCTAGTAGCATGTCCAAAGTATGTGAGACAGTGCTTTGCCATCCTTGCCTCCAAGAGATATTCTGGTTGCAGTTTTTCCAAGACATACTTGTTTGTTATTTTGGCACTCCATGGGCTTTTTAGTATTCTTCTCCAACACTACAACTTAAATACTTCAGTTCTTCTTTTCTCATCCATATTCATTGTCCAGCTCTCAGATGCATAGTTGTTGTTTTTGTTTTTATGTGCCATTGAGTTTCCTGCGACTCTTAGCAACCTTATCTACAACAGTTCTGAAGCTTGTCATGAGCCAGTCTCATTGATTCTGACACGCTAACCCCCGTTATCCCAATTACTGTATCTATCCATCTCATGCGGGCTCTTCCTCTCCTGTGCAGTTCCTCTACCCTTCTGAGCATGATGTCCTTCTCCAAGAATTGGTCCCTCTTGGCCACATACCCAAAGTATATGAGAAAGAGCTTCAAAATCCTAACCTCCAAGGAGAAATTTAGTTTCACCCTCTCCAAAACCAACCTAATTGTTTTCTTGGTAGTCTGTGGTATGTTCAAGACTCTTATCTAGCACCACAACTTAATGTCATCCTTAGTCATCATCCAATTCTCTGATGCAAGTAATTGCAAAGACCATGGTCTGGATCATTAGCACACCTCAGTCTATAGACTATACATTGTTGATTCTTGGTACTCTAGAGATGTCCATGACTGAATTTTCCCCAGTACATATCGTCTTTTGATTTCCTGACTGCTGGTGCCAAGAGTATTGATTGTGCAGCCAAGCAAGCCAAAATTGTTAACAATCTCAATCTCTTCTCTATCTACTATGGTGCCGCCAATTGGCCCAGTGGTGAAAATCTTTGTCTTCTTGATGTTGAGCTTCATTTCATATTGAACACTTCAGTCTTTGACCTTCCTCCTCAGGTCCTCCTCAGTTTCAGCAATCAAGGTTGTGTCATCTGTGTAATGTAGGTTGTTGATAATTCATCCTCCAATCCTGATGCTACATTCCTTCTCATAAAGCCCAGCCTCCCAGATGATCCGTTCTGCATATAGATTGAAAAGGTATGGAGACAGGACACATCCCTGATGCACTCCTTTCCTGATTTTGAACCATGCAGTTGTTTCCCTGCTCTGCTCTGATAGCTGTAGTGGTTGCATACCCTGACTTAGTTGCATCTTAGTCTTCAAACTGATGTCATTGCTACTCAGTAATTTGGCAAGGTTTCTGAGAGCAGACTTTTCCATTGTAATATGTCTCTTGATCTCCTGATTGCTGATAGGAAGAGTATTGATTGTGGATTCACTTAAGATAAAATTGTCCACAATTTCAATCTTTTTCCCATCTTTCATGATGTTACTTATTGTTCGAGCGGTGAGGATTTTTGTCATCTTGATGTAGAGATTCAGTCCATATTGAAGGGTATAATCCTTGATGCATTTCATGCCTTCTTCACTTTTAGCAAGTGAGGTTGTGTCATCTGCATAACCCAAATTCATAATTATTCTTCCTTTCCTGATGCCACATTCTTCTTAGAATCTAACTTTTTGAATTATTTATTCAGCACACACATTAAAGAATGGAGAAAGGATACAACCCTTTCCTAATTTCATGCTTTTCCTAATTTTAAACCATTGTACCATGTGTTCCCTTGCTCTGTTCAGACAACAGCTTCTTGGTCTAGGTATAGGTTTCATATGAGCATAATGAACTATTCTGGGATTGTTATTCTTCCCAACAAATTGCGTTGTAGTTCTCCTTGTAAGCATTATTGTTTCTAGAAAATTAAATTCTACAAACGTACTTATTTCTAATTTTTTCTGGAACTTTACAACAGCATTGCCTGTGTAGTCTATAGTCTGAGATGAGGTTAGGCAGTTAGGCTTGGCTGGGCCATAAGAAGATTTCCTTGATGTGATTTGGGGGTAATGTGCTCGATGGTATTCTAGACCCTACCACTGTGATCGAAGTTAATTCAGAAAAACTACCTGGTTAGCCCTCAAAATTTTGAAAAATAGTTATTTGTTAGGTGAAACCATTAGATTTTTGTTTGTTTAGTTAGCACAAACCTAATGCAGTTATGTCTTATCCCCTTACAGAATACACTTATTTTATAAAGTTTTATTTGGAAAATATCACTCTAGGACATCCACAAGGATAAACAACTGGTTTAGGCTCCTTGTAAATTGGTTTTCAGTTATTTCGGAAGCATTTTCAAACTTTCTGTTGAATTTATAGTTTAACTTTGGAGGTTTTTTTAGAAGCTTTGTAGTAGAACAATAGAATATTTGTAGTAGAACAGTAGCATGTCAATTTAGTGTAAATAATTTTACAAAGGGAATTAAGAAATACAAAATCAGTGATGTTGAGTTAGTAGAAACTCATAAGGTAAAGTTTGAGCGTA